ATGAGAAGGCAGCTGAAGAAATTTTTGAAACTCTAGATAAGCAGATTGTGGAGGAAAATTACTTCCCAGAGCAAATATTCAGTATGGGTGGAACTTTCCTGTTCTGGAAACAGATGCCTGAAAAGACTTGATCCATAAGGAGGCCAAGACAGTTCCAGTTTTCAGGGCTTTTAAGGACAGGATAACAGTCTTGTTTCGGATCAGTGTTGCAGGCTACAAATTGAAACTGTGATCTGGCACAGTGAGAACCCCAGGGCCTTCAAGCATGTCAGTAAGCACACACTGCCAGAGTACTGCAGAATCAATAAGAAGTCATGGATGACTCATCTCCTCTCCCAAGATCCCTTCCTGAATTGCTGTGCCAGCGGAATGGAGAAGAACTGTTTGGAGAATGACATACCTTTCAAGATTTTGCTTATCATTGACAGTTCTCCCAGACATCCTCCTCTTATTGATGTTCTTCACCCCAATATCCAGGACACTACCTCTAAGATCCAACCAATGGGTTGAAGAGTTACAGCAGCTTTTAAGTCCTACTACCTGAGGTGGACCCTTTTCTAGGCTATTGCTGCAACTGAGGAAGACACTGATGCAATTCTAGAAGGATTGCAACACCTGGGACTGCATCAAGAATCTTGCTTGGGCTTGATGTGATGTCACTAAGAAGTGTATGAATGGCATTTGAAAGAAGACACAAGGTTCATTCATGGATTTTCCAAAGATTAGGAGGTTGCAAAAATCAGCGAGGCTGTGGTTGAGATGGCAAACAACTTTAACCTGAGTGTTAAATGGGAATGACATTGAGGAACTCCTAGACATGGTTCCTGAGGAACTGACTAATGAGGAGTTGTTCCAGGTGGAACAGGAGTGCATAGCTGAAGAAGAGGCAAGAGAAAAGGAAACTGCTGGAGAAGAAAAAGAACGCTCAAGAAAATTAACAGGAAAGGGTTTAGCAGAAGTTTTTGCAGACTTCAACAAGCTCCTGAACCCTTTTCCTGTTTGCCCTGAGATAACTTGTGGATTACAGCCCTAACCTTACCTTCAAAATTTGCCATGAAATATCTCGCTTCTGTTATTTTCCCATCGCTCTAGCATATTGATGGTCTTTGGAAACATTATATCATTCTATTTATAGCATTCTATTTTTAGTAGTTCACTCGCTGGAAATGTCGTAGCCTAGAAAACATAGCTATATTCCTACATGAGCTGCACATTCTTTTCTAAATGAGAAAAGGGTTAAAGATGTTGAAAACATGGACCCCAAAACAAAAAGATTTTCATTCATGGAGAGGAATGTTCATGGTGCTTTATCTGCTTACAAGCAAATCTGTGATGGAAAGAAAAACAAAGCAACCGTTACCATAGGTATATTTTTAAAAAGAGTGATACCTCCTCAAGAAGAGCCTCAGGCAGGTCCTTCAGGAGGTATTCCAGAAGAAGGCATTGTTAACATAGATGGCAGCTCTATGGGTGTTACTGCTCCTGAGCACCTTCCATGGGACAAGTATGGAGGTGGAAGACAGTGATATTGATGATCTTGAATCCTAACCCTGTGTAGGCCTAAGCTAACATGTGTTTATCTGTTGTTAGTTTTTAACAGAAAAGTTTAGAAATAAAAATTTAATTTAAAAATAGAAAACTTATGGAATAAGGATATAAAGAAAATATTTTGTACAGCCGCACAATGTGTGTTTTAAGCTAAGTGTTACTACAAAAGAGTTGAAAGTTTAAAAGTTTAAAAAATTAAGTTTATAAAGTGAAAATGTTACAGTAAACTTTTATTATTATTAAAGAAAAACAATTTTATATGAATTTGGTGTAGCATAAGTATATGTTGTTTATAAAGTTTATAGTAGTGTGCAGTAAGACCCTAGGTCTTAACACAAAGCAACTTATCCTGCAGGCGCCATTCGTGGTAAATGCCCTACACATGTGTACCATTTTTTTATCCTTTATACTATATTTCTACTGTACTTTTTCTATGTTTAGATATACAAATGCTTAGCATTGTGTTTTAGTTGCCTACTGTATTCAGTACAGTAACATGCTGTACAGGTCTGTAGCCTAGGAACAATAGGCTATACATCTAGGTTTGTTAAGGACTCTCTGATGTTCTCACATGACAGAATTACCTAATGATGTATTTCTCAGAATGTAGACCCTTTGTTAAGTAACACATGACTGTCTAGGAAAGTTGTTAAGAGAGTAGAACCTGAGAGTTTTTATAACAAGGAGGAAGTTTTTCTTTTCCTTTTATTGTATCTATTTGAGATGATGGATGTTAACTGAACCTATTATAATCATTTCACAATATATGTAAACCAAACCATCATGCTGTACACCTTAAACTTATACAGTAATGTATTTCTTAATAAAATTGAGAAAAATTTTGAGGCTATATTTTTAGATACATACAAATTAGGATCGTTCTCTTTTTCTGGAGAATGGAACCTTTTATTATTGTGCGTGATTCCCTTTGTCTCTATGCCTATTCCTTAAGTCTAGTTTGATAGTAACATAGTTAACAACAGCTATCTTTAGTTAGTGTTTGCATGTTATACCTTTTTTTATTATATTACTTTCAACCTTTCTGTATCATCTTAGATGTTTCTTTTATAAGAACAAAGAGTTGGATTTTATTTTTCAACCAGTTCCACAGTCTTTCTTTTTACTTATATTTAATGGAATTCTCAATATATGGGGGTTTGAATCTGCTCTCTTTATTCACTTTCTCTGTTTCATCTAGACTTTGTTCTTTTTTTTTTTTTTTTTTTACAATTTTTTGGATTAAGTACTTTATATTATTCCAATTTCCCTACTCTACTAATTTGGTAATTATATGTTTTCCTGTTATTTTAGACTGGTTATACTCCAGAAATTACAACATGTCTCCTTTGCTTAATAATGTTTAATAAATTTTTACGGGAGGGGGGTGTTTTTTTATTTTTTTACCTCTTGACATTACAGGATCATAAAGCATTTGATTTTATTCCACTTATAAGCTGCTGCTGTTTTATATTTTAATTCTCTGTTTAAACCCAGTAACATGGTGATGATGGTGGTGACGATTACTATTATTTCATGTACATGCAACCACTGTGCATCTCTGACCTCCTATCTGAGATTAATTTTCTTTTGCTTCAAGAATATCCTTACGATTTCTATCAGGGTCTGCTGATAATGAGTTCTCTGTTTTTGTCTTCCTAAAAACTTTTCGCCTTCATTCTTGATGTTCGTTGTTGTTTGATATAGACTTTCAGCTTAGCAGTTTGAATATATTATTTTACATCATTTCATTGTAAAAGATTGCTGTCAAACTTATTGTTAATCTCATTAAAAGTAATGTATCTTATCTCTGCTTTAAACAAATTTGGTTTTCGTTCATTTTACTATGATGTGCTTAAGTATCTTTTGTTTTATGTGGCTTGAGGTTCATAGGCCTTCTTAACTCTTGCATTGTTGACTCAAAAAGTTTTAGAAAATTCTCAGCCAATATCTCTTCAAATACAACTTTAGTTCCATTTTCTCTCCTCTTTTGAGAATTCAGTTACAAGTTTGTTGGACTTTCTCAGAGTGTCTCTCTTTTTCTGATATGTTCTTTTGGTTCATTTGTATATTTTCCATTAACTTTCTCTTTCATGGTTCATTCTAGATATTTTCTTCAGACTTCTCTTCCAACTCTGATACTTTTTTCAGTTGTGTGCAATTCATTGATAAGCCTGTCCATTGGGTTCTTAATTTGTTAATGTATTTTTCAATTATAGAATTTACATTTAGTCCTATATTATTTCTAGTCCTCTGCTAGAGTCTCTTGTCTTTTATTAATTATGTTTTCTATTTTATGTTAGTTTTTGTATTTTAGATGTTTATGTTGTAGATTTTAAATTTACATGTGTTTTGGATTCTGATGACTCTATTTTCTAGATCTCCCATGGTCTGTTTCTTTTGGATTTGGGCTACATTTTCTTGTAACATCATGTGTCATTCATTGATTGAGGGGTGGACTTTTATAGTAAAAATTGTTGAAATAATTTGAAGCCTTGAGAGGTGATATCTTCCAGACAGGATTTATGTTTGCTTCTGAAAGGGAGCAAAGAACTCTAGCAATCTCAGATCACTTTAATCCAGTTTCTGGGATCGAGGTAATTGGAGCTGTACCTCAGTCCTTATGAGAGACAGTCTAATTTTGGTTAATCTTTACTCGTAGGGTATAGCCCTTTATAGTCTCATTCTAATGCATGATTTTTACCAGGGCCACCCCCTGCCATCAGTGGTAGACTCCGAACTGAGGTTTTTATACTCTTATACCTGTAAGAACAATTTTGATTAGCTTCTCGAAGTTTTTTTTATCAGCTGCCTCTTCTTGAAGCCTCAGATCCCCATTAATGAGCTCACCTCTCTGGGATTCTTCTCTTGAGTTTTGGCCCCAACTTTTACTCTTTTTCTTTTAGCTCCCTAGTACCTTCTAAGGAATGTCTATGGATATGCTGTCCAGTTCTAATTGCTTTCAGCAAGAGTTGGCTTGCGTTACTTAGTCTGCTATTACTGGAGGCAGAAGTCTTAACTTGATTTTTGAATATTAAATAGATCTGTCTTTCTTTGTTTCATTTCAATTTTTTACCCATGATTCCTATTTACGTCTTGCTTATAAATCTAACAAGTGAATGAAATTACCAAGAACTTTACTTGGCAATCACAGTGGGGCAGTGGCTTCTCAATCTCAGTTTAATATTTTGGTTTTACATTATTCTCTGATTCAGTTTTACCATCTCTTGAAACTCCTGAAGAATTTTTTTAACAGTTGATAATCTGATTATGTAAGTAACCCAGTACTCTACAATTAAAGCTTATAACAACTGCCTTATTTCATTAGGATATTTGTTATACCGTTAGTTTCTTGCTGCTGTTAAATCTTATGTAGCATTTATAAAGATTAAACTAATATATACCTACCATGGACCTGAAGTAAATTTATCTGATGTAAATTTTCTTATTTCTAGGACACTTTCTTCATGAACAGCAAACCCCAAAGATGCAAAGGCAAGCTACTTGATGGTGGTGATTCTGTACTTAGGATAAGCACCATTGCTTCAGCTATTGAAAATGCATCAGTTAGTACTGATCCTTCCCAATTTGCTGCCATGATCAAGGCACTTTCAAATAATATTCAGGAAGATGATAAACAAAAGGACTGTTCCATTGTGTCTCATTTCTTACCTAATGATTTAGAAAAAAGTAATGGATCTAGCACATTTGATATGGAGAAATATCTTAAAAAAACCGAAGTTAGTAGATGTGAAGGTGGACTGCAAAACTTTTCAAGAGCTGATGGGTCTATTTGGGATTTGTATTTGCCAAAAGAACGGACTACAGAAGACATCCATACAGTAGACTTAGGCGCTACTACTAGATGTGTAAGGGAATCAGAAGAAAATACGGCAGCTATTTGCTATGGTGAAAATGGAGAGAGTGAAAGCCAGGAATCATTAAGATCAATAAACACTTCAAATTCAGTTCTTACAAATATAAGAGAGAATGAGAGTGCAGTAGTTGATATGAAGACATATTCCATTGACGACAAATTTCCAGATATTGGTAACAGTGAAAAAGCTACCTCAATGTCCATTCCAACGTCTAATAGTTATTCATTAGTAAGGACCCCCAGAATAGCATCCCTTTGGCTGTCAAAAGAGTGTGAAGAAATGCAAAGTAATAGAGAAAATCAGAGGGAAAATGAATATGTTAGTGAAACTAGCAGTGAAAAGCATGTGACTTTTGGAAAACATTCTTTAATCTCACCTAAAAATGTTGGTAAGTGGTAGAGTAATTGATAACATTCACAACATTTTGCAGACTTTTTTTTTTCCTGTTCTCATTAGAAAATAATACCTTTCTGATAGATTTGAAAAATCCTTCTCCTGAGCATGGTGCATGTGGTTCAGAAGATGGCCAAGATAGCTTCAGACCTTCCACTTCTCCACTGAGTCATTCTTCTCCTAGTGAAATTTCTGGAACAAGTTTATCTGGGTAGGTACTTTTTTTTTTTTTTTTTTAAACAAATGCATGCTCAGTATAGGAAAGATGGTAAAAATTATTATCTATAGGTTCCTCTTTTGTGAATTTCATTCAAGGCGTTTTTTTCTGTGCAAATTTTTATACTTTTTTTTTTTCACTTATAATGATTCTCTGTTTAAAAAAATTAATAATGTTGAAAAATGGTATAGATGTTAGAGGCTCTGTTCATCCCAGAGCAACCAAATCAAAGTTACGACAGAAACAGAGCAAACAGCAAGGAAAAATCATCTGGGATCTAGTTGAACAAGCCATTCAACTAGGGAGAAATCCAAGAAATCACCTTGCAACGGCAGAAGATAGGATGAGGTGAGGATGCGAGGCTGCCCAGTCCCAAAGGGCTGAGTGGGACAGAGGCTGTGGCAGCGGCAGATGCCTCTTAAAGGGCTGTGTCTGTGAGTAGACTTTAACAGTGATGGACTTGCTTGCTCTGAGCACCAATGCTGGTTTGGCTGCGCAGGGGGCACCAGGGACTTACAGGGGACGCTGAGTTGTTGGAATGAGGACTGAGGTGAAACTCGCTCTATACAGATGTGCCGGTGGTATCCATTGTTCTTCTGTTGAGTCCTCCCCCATACCAGTGCGTGAACTCACCACCCACAGGGGAGACATAATTAAACTGAATAACAGGTTGCTCCGTCCAGAAGATTCCCCAAAACTTCACCTCTCCCAACTCGTGGCCCCACCCAAGCCACATCCAGGTATATCCTCAGTGAGTCAGGTGCTCCTTGCTGAGCAGCACCTATACTCACACTGGAGGCAGCTGGCCTTGGTTTCTGGTGTGGCCTTTTGAGACAACTATAAGCACATCTGTGGATTGCTTGCTGAATCTTAAAAGGTGGCCCCTGAGGGGCAGAGGCTTGGGCTAAATTTGAACCCCTGCAGCTGAACCCCTCTCAGGACTATGTCACTGGACACCTACTTCACAAATCCACACTAATAAGACCGGGAGACTTAGGAGCTTTGCTCAGTACATAGAAACATGGAAACAGACACGAAAGTCAGCCATAATGGGAAGACGAAGAAGCAGAAACCATATGAGAGAATAGAACAGAGATCCAGAAATAATGGAGTCAAGTAATCTAACAGATGCAGAATGCAAAACACTGAGTATAAAGATGCTCAATGAACTTATGGGAAGTGTAGATGAATTCAGTGCGAACTTCAGAGAGATCAAAATAAAAAATGGAAATGGAAATTAGAAAAGAGAACCAGTCTGAAATGAAGGAACGCATTATCTGAGATGAGAACTACATTAAATGGAATAAACAAAGTGAATAAAGAAGAGTTTTAAATGAGCTATATAGAGGATGGGAAAGCCAAGGACAATCAGAATGGCAAGAAAAAAGCCAAGACTATAATAATATAAGGAGTCTATGGGACACAGTTAAAGGTAAAAATATCCATGTCGTAGCGGTACTTGAAGGAAAACAAGATGTTGAAGAGCTATTTGAAGAGATAATGATAACTTGGTGAAGGAAATAGACATACAACCCCAGGAAGCTCAAGTCCCAAAAACCAGGAACCCAAAGAGTCCCACACCAAGACACGTCATAATTAAAATGCCAAAGGTTAAATAGAAAGAGAATCTTAAAAGCAGCAATAGAAAAGCAGTTTCCTGTAAGGGAACACCCAGAAGACTGGCAGCTGGTTTCTCAAAAGAAACTATGCAGGACAGAAGGGCTTGGCGAAAAATATTCAATGTGATGAAAACCCAGGATCTATAACCAAGAATCCTTTATCCAGCCAGCAAAGCTATCATTTAGAGTTGAAGGACAGATAAAGAGCTTCCCAGACAAAAATAAGCTAACGGAATTTATCATCGAGCCAGCATTGCAGGCAATGTTAGAGGGACTTCTTTAAGAAGAAAAAACATATATCAAAAACAGGGATGAAGAATGGTAACAACTACCTCAAATGGGAAAGAATTAAGTGCTCCAACCAAAAGATAGAGTGGCCGAATGGATAAGAAAACAAGACCCCTACATATGCTGCCTACAAGAGACTCAATTCAGATTAAAAGGCACACAGACTAAAACGGAGATGGAAAAAGATACTGCCTTGATGGACCTAGAGGGTATTGCGCTGAATGAAATGGGTTGGATAGAGAAAGACAAATATCACATGATTGCACGTACTTGTGGAATCTAAAGAACAAAATAAACAACAACAAAAGTGGAAATAAACTCATAGATAGATTATTTAGAGGGATACTAGATGGGAGGGGTTTGGGAGGAGACAAAAGGCAAAGAGATTAAGAGGTAGAAATGGATAGTTGCAGAATAAACATGGAGATGTAGAGTGTAGCATGGGGAAGATGGTTAATAATGTAATAAATATGTAACAGGGAAGAGGGGTACTAAATTTAGTGGGGTGATCACTTTGCAAGTTATGTGGATCTCTGCTATGCTATACAACTGAAACTGGTATATTATTGTATGTCAACTATAATTGAAAGAAAAATCATTGAAAAATCATTGTACAATGTAAATGCAAGCAACTAATTATTATATTTCAATAAAGACAAAAATTAATAATGTTATAGACTGCATAATGAATCTTTCATGATTTATTTTATTTAAAATTTTTTCCCCCTTTTTAATTCCTCCCCATACCTCCACCCCTGACCCATGGATGTTGCTGTTATTAGTTTCTTAGGTATTCTTCTAGAATTTCTTTATGCATATATAGGCAAATATAAATATGTTCTTATTGTCATCCCTTTTAATGCTCAATATAGGGATTTTTACACACTTAAGTTTTGCTATACAAGGTATTACAGTCTCATTTGTATTATAGTCACTTTGGACGTGTGAAAATATATAGGATAAATTTCTGGAAGTGAGATCGTTGGGTCAAAGAGTATATGCATTGATGTTCATATTTAAATTAGTAGAATTCTTCCATAGAGGTGTTAATTTAATTTTCCACTAACAGTTTAGGAGAGGATCGATTTTCCCACAGCTTCACCAACATCAAATATTTTGATTGTTGATAAGTGAAAAATAGTATTTCATTATAGTTTTAATTCATATTTTTTATGAGCATCTTTTCCTTCTCTATGAGATATCTAGTCATCTTTGTTGCTTGTTTTTTTCATGGACTGTTAGTCTTTTTTTGTCTCCATTTCTAGGAGCCTTTGATGTATTGGGAAGAACAAGTAGTCCTTTATTTGTGATACGAGTTATGGTTCCTAGTTTTTAGAAATTTTATTTTACCTACTTTTTTTTGCCTATAGGAAGTTTATTTTATTAATTTATCAAGTTTTTTTTATGCCTTATAAAAGCTCTTTTATATGTTTCTATATTGAGAGATTTTAATAAACAGAAATTTTACCCAGCAGTGAAATGGTTGAAAATGTTCAATATTTTGGAACAAATTGAAATTACGTTTGATTTCAAAGTTACCTATTAACTATTTCTCAAGCTGCCATTGAAGTTTTGCATGTTCACCTGAAATGGTGTGGATGAACTAGAGCTAAATATCTATGGAGAGCTTAATTCTTTCCTGTTTCAATGAATCCTCAACACCTCATTCTGAAATAGTTTTTCATATACACAGCCACCTCTTATTTAACAGTTAATTTTCTATTTTAAAGGCTATTAGAAGTCCTTCAGCCCAACCAAATTTGAAGATCATCTGACTTTGACTTGTCATCATTGCCGCTATCCAATTTTCTCCTTTCTCTTACCATTAATATTTGCCTATAAAATTATCTAAGTGTTTATCTTTGTACTGTTAATAAGTATACTTTGGATACTTATTTTGCAAGCTTTTAAATTATCTTCTTTGATTCCTAGCTGTAATAGTTTCTCATGGCTGCCATAACAAAGTACTACAAACTGGATGGCTTAAAACAACAAATTAATTTTTTCATAATCAGTAAGCTAGGAGCCCAGGATCCTATTATCTGAAGCTTCCTTCTGGTAGCTTCTGATAGCCTTAGGTGTTCATTGGCTTGTAGATGGATGCATCACTCTAATCTCTCTCTGTATTCACATGTCTGCCTTTAATCTCTGTCTGTGTCCATATTTACCTCTTCTTATAAGGACAACATTCACGTTGGTTTAAGGCCCAGCCATTATGACCTCATCTAATTACCTCTGCATGACCCCATTTCTAAGTAAGGTCACATTCGAGACACTAGGGGTTAGGACTTAAACATATCTTGTTTGGGGAACATAACCTATAACACCAATGAGACAATTGGTGAACTTATTCTCATGTTCTTTCCCTTTTCCCTTTCTACTTTTTTTTAGGTCGTGTAATTTCTGTGTTGGCATTTCATTTGCATTATGATTTATCACTGTATCCTACATTTTAGTTTTTGTTTCACAGTTAAATATATTCAGTTCTTGACATTAGTTGTTTCTTCTCTTGGTTGACTAAAGTATGTCCTGTAGGAGTTTGCTCAGAGAAAGCCTGGTGGTGCAATATTCTGTAGGCTTTTCTATGTTTAGAAGTTAATCCGTGGCATAGCTGTTTCTGAAAGTTTTGGTTTGTACTTTGTTCTGTTAAGTTTCTTGTAGGGATTGCTTTACTGTCTCAATGGAAAATAGGGAAATCTGAGGCTATCCTAATTCTCTTTGCCTCATAATTGAATTGATATTTTTTTAAGCTTATGCCAAGGATGCTTTATGTTTCAAGTCTGGTAATTTTCTTGGGTTCTGTCTCTATGTAGACTCTCCATGGTTACTGTGCCCAGGCACACACTATATCCTTTAATCATATGGAGTCAAGCATTATTTTATTTAAGGAAAGGTTTTTGAATTATTTGTTAAAATATTAGTCCTGCTCCATCCCACTGCTGCCCCTAGCAACTCTAGTGATGCATATGTAGGATCTATTTTTCGTGATTTTTGCATTTATTTTTCTCTTTTAATCCTTTCTTTAAGAACTATTTATTTTGGAATAATTTTAGATGCATAGAAGTTACAAAGATAGTATAGAGAGATCCTATGTACCCTTTACCCAGTTTCCACCAGTGGTTGCATCTTAGGTAATTATAGCGTAGTGTCACAACCAGGGACTTGTCATGGCTACAGTGTGTGGGTAGAATTCAGTGTCATTTTATCAACGGTGTGAATTCACATAACCACCTCCACAATCAAAGATACAGAATTTTTCCATCACCACAGTGATCTGTCTCTTTCTTAATTTCTGTTTTATGTCATTTGCATTTCACATTTCTAGATTCCTTACAGTGTTTTAAGGGCCCAGCCTACTCCATTATGACCTCATCTAATTACCTCTGCATGACAACAGATCTCTAGATTCCTTACAGTGTTTTCTGCAGTATGTCTTTCCCCCTTTGTACTTTCCAGTTTCATCTTGTTTTCTTTGGTTTTGATATTTTTAAATTATATATGAAGGCAGTTAATAAAAACTGCAAGTACTTTATAAAAACTTACATTATTATGATTTTTTCCTTCATACTGCCTTTTACTGTATGATCAGAGACAAAATGCTAGATTAGGTGGTCTCACTCTTAAACTCACTTTTTTCCCCCCTGCTCCTAAGAAAGTATTTATTCATTAAGTAAGGGAAACATACCTTAAGAAGATACACTAAACTTCTTATGAACGTGGAAGACGGTCAGATATTTTGAATAAGAACATCACATTTACTTTTACTGAAGTGGCCATGGAATTGGTAAGCTTACTCCACATGGGTAAGCTAGCCAAGTACAGGCACTTTCGCCTCTTAGCTTGGGGCAGATCAATAGGACTTAATGAGAAAAAGGTCAATTCCTATGAGGGTAGTGCACTCTGAACTAAAATTGCAGAAAGATGAAGTGATGTTGTGATGCTGAGTTGCTTAACATAAATTTTTTTTTTTCTTTCATAGTCACTAAAGCAAACACTAGTTGAGATCTCTTGTTCAGTATCTGGCATATAGATTAATTAATGAATCTTTTCGAGGGCATGATTTTAGCCTACTAGCAAAAGCTTTCTGTCAGGTTTTGGCCCACCCCAACCCAACTTTAGTATTTCACAGTATGCATTGTATTATATTTTTATCAATATATAATTAGCATACAATAAAACTCAGATCTCAGAGGTCTCATTCAATGAGTTTTTGACACTTTTTATACCTACTTAGGCACCACCCCTAAAATATACAGAACATTTACATCACCCCATTGACATTTCCTTGCCTTTTTTCAGTCAGTTCTCCTGCCTCCCTCACCCCTACCCTGGCACCCACTTTCTGATTTGTATTGCTGTAGGTTAGTTTCGTCTGTTCTTGCATTTTGTATGAATGCAATCATATACAGTCATGTGCTGCTTCACAGGGATACATTCTGAGAAATGTGTCATTAGGTGATTTTGTCATTGTATGAATATCAGAGAACGATTACATAAACTTAAATGATGCAGCCTACTATACACGTAGGCTACGTGGGACAACTTGTTGCTACAAGCCTGCACAGCATGTTATTGTACAAAACAACATGAGACTAAATCAAGCACAAGAGATATGTGAGGCTGCTTCCTGTGTTACATGGCATGCTGTTTTACAGTGGACTTTAATAAGTAGAGTGCACTCTAACAATAAAAAGTATAGTATAGTAAATACATAAACCAGAATATAATCATTCTCAAGTATTGGGTACTATACATAATTGTATGTGCTATACTTTTATATTACTGGCAACGCAGGTGTGTTTACACCAGCATCACCACAAACATGAGTAATGAGTTGAGCTATGATGTTATGATGGCAATGATGTCAGCGGGAGATAGGAATTTTTCAGCTTCATTATAATCGTATGGGACCACCATGGTATATGCAGTCCATCATTCAACGAAACATCGTTATGCAGTACCTAACTGTAGTACATTTTTTTCGGTCTAGCTTCTTCCAGAATGTGTTTCTGAGATTCATCGTGTTGCATGTGTCAGTAGCTCATCATGTTTATTGCTGTATAGTACTCTATTGCATGGATGTGCCACATTCTGTTTATCATTCTCTTGTCGCATAATATACATTTTTGTCTAAGCTGCCATTTTACATGTTCCTACTATTGCTTTCTCTTCTTTTTCCCTTATCAGCCCTAAATGAATGTGTCAATCTCTTTTAATTGATTTTCTTGGATTATGATAACCTCTGCATACACGGTTCTTTCTTCAACTGAGAAAAGTTTTATTTTTCTATTATGTGTATTACCTGTGTTCCACTTATTCCTTCCTCCTTTTTAGTACACTGATTGCCCATTAATTGATAAATCCCTTCTCTGGTCATCCATGACTATTTTATTTATCCTAATTTCTTTACATTGATTCTGTATTGTGGGATAGCTATTCATGTGTTTATCCTCTGTATCACTGATTTCGTGTAGCATAAACTATGCTTTTCGTTGCTGCCAACATAGACTTTAATTTTGTATTCATTTATTTTATTGAAATCCTCATACCTTTTTATCATGGTAAAATAGATTTGATATTTTTATTTTACATTTTTTTTTCTGTTTCCACCACCTCATATTCCATTAATTTTTTTGTATATTCTTGGTGAAATGTTGGACAGAATTTTCTTCTGTTCACTGCAACATGTTTTTGGTGAGTGTACTTTGGTAATTTTCTGTTCATTATTTCTAGCTGGTCTTCTAGCTGGTTTCTGACGGATTCGTTGAGCTGATTTAGAGCTTCTTATTCCAGAACTACCTTTTGAGTTTCTCTGCAGCCGGCACCTTGGCAATTTTTGGATTCCTTCGAAGTCTGACATCTTGAATGAAATTCTTCTCCTTTTATTTCCTTGTGTTCTTACAGTTCACTCCTCATTACCTAAGGTAATATAACCTAAATGCATTTGTTCTTTTCAACCAAAGGAGCCGGACTAATAATAGAACAAATCACTCTAGTAACCCGCAACCTTTTCACACCGTAACGTGGTGTCTGTGTGAATATGTGTGCGTGTGCCTTCAAGAACCCGTGTAAGTGCATGTCATACAGCGGCTAAAGTAGGCCTGAAGCAGTTTGGTTGGTATTTTGTCTCCATTTGTTAGAGATTCACTAGTATTTTGTCAGTACTGTCTTGATTTGGTGCTTTTTAAAAACCCAAATTTAAAATAGGGTTTTCTTTTGTGTTCACTGCCCAGGTGAGGATTTTGAATTTTATGCAAAAACAACAGGGTAAAATTCAGTCAAATTAAGGGCTGAATTGAAACTAAATGTCAGTGTTCAGCGACTATTTCCAGAGATGGCTGCTGGGACAGTATTTCTTACCTAGTGTGACTTTGCCACTTCTCAAGAGTTGCACCCTGTTTCCCTTCTCTTTGAATTGGTCTGGGCAGGCCCTACAATGGGTATCGACTAACATGATATGGTGTGTGTAGTAAGTAGATGTGAGCTCTTACTATTTATTGCTTTCTAATTTTTTTTTCTTAATATATTATGAACATCTTTCTGAGTCAAAGGTAGTATTCAGCAGCATGACTTAAAATGGCTTCATACTGTTTTATTGTGTTTGTGCTGTAATTTCCATAGCCTGGTTCTTCCTAATATAACATTTAAGATTCCCTACATTATCATCAGTGGTATTCTATGATGACAAATTCTTTTAGCAAAATTTTTATAATTAGTGTTAATTTTTTTCTTAGGATAAATTTGTAGGTACAGAATATCTGAATCAAGGAGATTTTGATACGCATTGCTTAGTTGCCCAGCCAAAAGTTGTACCACTTTATATCAGCAGTATATGACTGTTTTCATTTTTTGCACTTATCTACATGATTCTTTTTTTCATCTTTACCCTTTGAGGACAGAAACTTTTTAATGCTCTGCTCATTGCTCTATATCAGGTATTTAGGAAATTTTTATTATATGAATAGCTACTAACATTGTATGTGGAATTTATTAATGAAAATCCCACTTTTTTCTTTTACAGTAGATTACCAGATACTTTATTCAGTAGGAATATAATTTACAATTTTAGACAATTAAGTGTAAAAAATTAATTCATGGTTATTACATATGGCAGCTAGAGCAGAGACTTTAAATTAACAAGATTGTAGGCAAAACAGGTTTGGTTTTTGCTAGTGTAGAAAATGTTAAGTAACAGACTAGACAACTCTATTCACAAGGTGTTCTCTCTCTTTCAGGTGTGCTTTAGAGACTTTTGGCTCAGCAGCTCATCATCAGAAGTCCCCCAGTGAGAGTGGATTGTCTCAATTAATGTGTCCACAAGCTGGTTTGAGCAGGCTGACTTACGTGTCTGAACAAGGGAGCACCTGTCCCACCACAGCCTTAGATTATGGCCCTGAGGACCACAAGGTGAGTAGCACTTTTATTGTTTCTTTACTAAGGCTTTGGGTTCTAAAGTATTATTGAAGTAGGACTCAGACTGAGGTTCCAGCCTATATACTTGCTGTTGTCATTTTACCTTTAAAATAAGTATGTGTGTGTTGTGCGTGTATCAAATAGCTGCTCATGCTGGATAGGCACTAGAGGTACAAATATTTTCGTGTGTGCCCTCAAAGCTCTCAGTCTGATTGTGGACACTTGCAAGACACACTGTAATGCACTGAGACATTCACTGTGGGGATTCAGAAGGAGGTAACTAAAAATTTGACTGGGGTGTCAGAGCGATAGGTAATGTATTGAAGCCATATTTTTCAGAACTACTTGGACTTAAGGAGGAAGCAGACAAACATGGGGGAAGGCAAATGGAGGATGGAATTGTAAAATACACACTGCATTTGAGGGACGCCTAGAAGTTTGGAATGACTGCAGTGAATCCTGTACTTGGGGAAAGAAGGAGAGGCCAGACTATGAAGAGTCTTAGATGTGAAATTTGGCAGGACACTGACATGATCTGTGTTGATGCTTTCAAGCTCATTGCAATAGCAGTTTGGAGGCGGCATTGCCGGGGGCAAGACGAGAACCAGGAAGACTGACACAAAGCTAATGTAGTCAGTTGGGTGAGAGACGGTGCAGGCTGTGAAGGTGGGAGAGAAGCAGAGAGAGCTGAGAGATTTAGGTGGGAGAATTTTATTACTATCTGCGTGTGTGTTTTGTGAATGCGACAGTGTTCAGTATTTTTAACAAGGTGAATGTGACTTTGCGAATATGCAATCTAGGCTTCTTTTGCCAAGCTATTGATAAATATATCCACTAAAGTTACTAAACATAGGATGTGTTGGACAAACCGGTATACCCATTTCGTTGAAAGCTGTCTTTTTGTTGATGCTGTTAGATGTTTGGTCTTAATAGTGGTTAAGAGCTGAATTGTGGAGATGGCTTCTCCTCTGCTACTTTCACTCAGATACAGTCTTCCCAAGCCTGTTGTTCATGTGTAAGGAGGGACAGTGGTATGAGGACAAGGTTTGGCACCAAGAAGTTACCACTGAATATGTACAGACTGTTATTTATTTTTACTGATTGCTTTATTGATTGATGAATAAAAGTTTGTTTCACAGTGTCTTTGTTTCTGAAACTTTTGTCCAGGAGAGATTTTTCAAACCAAGTACCAAGAGTAATCAGTGAGGGTTAAGTGCTTCTGAAAGGTGGTACATTATAAAGAAATGAATATATGAACATTGACTAGAGCTATTACTTCATATTTAAGAAAACATAACTACAGAAGTTTAGACATCGGAAAAGACTTGGTGCTCAAAAATTAGCATCTTCAAACATAACAGCAATATAGATAAATAATGGGGGTGGGAGAGCCCTCGAGCTGGCTTTGTGTTGTTCCTAACCTCATGTCGATGCCATTTGAAAGCTTGCTCACCCCCCATTTTTTCGTTATTAATTTACTTAGATTTTTTATTGTATTGTTTAGAGAAGTTTAGGAAATCCCTTAAATTTGTACAAAATTACTTATCTCTTGTCCTTTGTGTAAATTTTTTCAGAGATACAGTTGGCGTATACTTCCTCTTTAGTCTCTTCATAATTATTTCTATAAAACAATGCAAATTTTCTAACTTTTAACTCTACATTACCTAGCTACAAAGCTACTTTTCTTTGTGTACGCCAGTTTTTTTCCCCCAGAATGTCATATAGATCTCTTTATTATTTGAGAGTAATCAGCATGGTTTGAATTTGTAATAATCTAAGGATTATTTCTAAACATTTTTTGTCACACTCAGAGCGATATCATCAGTGAGTTGAGTACCACAATTATTCGAGCCAGTCCAATTCCATCAGAAGAACAGAGAGAAAAGGGTTCATTTCAAAGTAGAGGAAAAGGAGCATCATCATGTATTATCCAGAAAAGCTCAGATACAGAAAAAGTGACTGAAACTACATCTCTGAGTAACACACCTGAAGATGTAAAACCTGATCTTAGATTGAGTAAAGATCTTTCTTCCCAAAGTGGAGATCTGTCAGAAACCACTGCGGTAAGTTTGACCTCAGACCCAGATAAATTGGATGAGATCAGCCTCGTTCATCTGAGCAAGTCCCGTCTCAGGCACCCAGCTGTGTCAGCAATACCATGCCTCCCTATGTCACACCAAGCATCTGTAAATGAAAGTGAGAGAGTAACTTCCAAAGATACATCAACTACAGACACTACATTGAGTGGCCAGGCTCCTCATCAGACAGCCTCTGAAGACCAGTGTGTTCCTGTTCCCAGCTCCGTGGCTTGCGGCTCTGTACCTGAGATGCAGAGCGTGCCCACTGCAGTTCCTGCACTCTCAGCTCGACATTCTTTTACCACAGCTTCCTTTGCCCAGCAATATCTGGGAACACTACCTGCAGCTGGAAATGTTGCTTTGCCTCAGTGCTGTGCTGACAGCACCACAGTTTGTGGGTTCTCAGGAAGCTGTCCTTATCCTGCTATCATAGGAGACAATGTTCAGAGCTCTGTGGCCATGGACATTTGTCTAGGACAAAATATCAGCTCTGGACTGATGGGTACCTCTTCTTTTTATAACCCGTATTTTAATGTGTTACATCAGAATCTTCTAACTACAGCAAAACCTTTTCCTGTGCAGTCTCTTGGTGCAAATTGTGGAATTGAACCAGGGGATTCAGGAATGATGTCAGGATTTGGTAAGATGCTTTTTCTCTGTTATTGTCTGTTGTTGCTTGCTATTATTTAAAAATTGAATTTTCTCAAAGGAGACCATAAGACTGATTTTGTTTCAAGGAGATATTGATTGGTCTGAATTTCTCATAAGTTTTTTTTATTTGTCCTGAATTTGGACACATTTTTGGGTGAAGATTCCTGAAGTGGCCTTAGAAAAACATGAAAATTTATGCAAGTGAAACTCCTGATAACTTGTCTTTCTGTCTCTCTTATACTCTGCACTTGGATTTCTGTTATTCTTTCAACTAGGAAACACCCAGTTTAGAGTGAGTCTCCTTCCAGCTTTTAAATCTTTGCACAGGGGCGGAGGGGGGGAGGGGACGTTAATGTGGTAGTGAGAGACAGTACCCTTCCACCCTTATCTGTAGTGGCTGAACTGCCTCCGGATTCTCTCACTGATAGTCACTGTGCAAAGCAGAGCTGGTTGCTATGCTTTTCCTGACAATATACACAGTCGCTGGAGTACTATCTTCTTCTCTGTCCTCTCTTTCTTTTCCAGGAAATTCCAGAATAACTGTTTAGGATGGCAGAAAGATTGGTCATATTAAAAATCCAAGTTAGAGCCTCTATTGTTTGTTATTAGGTTAGGCCGTGGGCTTATATTTGTGGAGGAAAAAAGGAGGAGATTACAAATAAGTAATAACATCTAAGGATTGATTAGCTATAAATTGTGAGTTTAATCTGTTTTAATTGTGCTTATGCCTTTGCTGGATACAGCAGGAAAAAATTGTTGACTAGCCTATTCTGGGACTTATATAATGTCAAGGATGCCTAAAGATCTGGGACACTTTGTACCATATATCTTGGGTGTAAACAGGTAGTCTTTTATAAAAATTTCCATTTAACCAATTGTGCACTTTATCAGGTGTTTGATATAACTCTCATTTTGACTATGCTTTATCTTTACCCAGGGAATGTAAGAGTACCTGAGGAACTGAAGTTTCCTCATGCTTGTTGTGTTGGCATTGCCTCACAAACCCACCTTAGTGTACTTAATCCAACTGCTCGCTGGCTGCAGGTCAGCATCAGGGTGCTCAGTGTTAGCATTAATGGTGAAAAGGTAAGCTTTCTATATCTTTCTCTTTTGACTTAGCAATCGCATTATGATTAATGCTGTATTTCTCCTTTCTCTAGTACTTCCTTTGATACTGGGGAGTATGTCCCTGCCCCACCCTTCATACATTGCACAGAATCATTGGAATAGTATCTTTCTCTTGGTCCCTCTTTTGTTGTAGTATTTCTAGTCTAAGAGGTGAATGTCTAATCTGAATGTATTTCTTATTTTCTGCCAGTTATTATACTTCATCGTTATTTATAAAGTCATGTATATGTCCTTTTAATGCTATTATTTAAACCACTGAAATCTCTTGAGTTTCTCGTCTCTACTTGTCAGTTTTGTTAAATGTGATTGAATATAAGTTACTGCCATTTATCAAAAAACAAACAAGTTACTCTAGGGCCTACACCTGCATTTAGTAAGTAGTCTTTGTCTAATTAATCTTGTTATTATGTGATATTTGAAATACCTGGAAATACAGTTTTAACATTAACTTTCTTATAGTAAGGGTCTCTCACATGATAACATCTGCTAAAGTTCTAGAATCTAAATCTCCGTTCATAATTACAATGACCATTTGAATGTAATTGAATATAATATGGACAGCAACTGCTATTTTGGAATGTCTTGGTTTTGCGACTGCTACTTGCAGACCAACATGGTGGATAAGTTTACTCTTCCCTGTTTCCTCCTAGTTATAGCTTTCACCTGGTAAAATAAGACTGTCTCTCCCCTTTTTCTAGCTTTTCCCCTATGTTTTCAAATCCTGAGGATAGATGAAAAGCAACTGTTTGAAAAAAAGGGTTGAGGGTGGAAGGAGGTGAGATGGGAGGCATTCTCAGGGATATCTAGGAAATAGTGTTATCTCTGAAAGTGAGAGTAGAAAGAGATCCCCATTTACAGTGAGGAGGAAGGGTTTGTAGTGAATCATAATCATAGGCTTGGAAGCCTAATGAGGACTATTAAGAGATCACTTGAACTCCCCCACATTATACCAGAAACTAGGTCCTAGGGCTACACAGGGCTGCCCCCATTTTTAGTGCCCTTTTCAAGTAAAGTGAGGGTATCAATAACTGTTTGCTTTAAAATAGACTAGGGCCATAAATTCAACCTATCTTCTTAAGTCTTCATAATTTTGACTAATTGTACTTTATAGATAATGAGTTATAAGACTTGGATGTTTTTGAAGAGATAATAAATGTATGGATTAGATAGTTTTAGTGACTAGGAAAAGGGATCTTAAACTAGTTGCTTTTCTTGATTTTCAGTGTAAAACCATACTTTAACAAACCATGTGGCTTTTTTTTTTTTTAAGGTGGATCTTTCAGCATATCCTTGTTTAGTTTTCAAGAATAAAGTCATCATAAGACCTCATGCCACAGAAGAAATAAAAGTTCTTTTCATACCATCCAATCCTGGGCTTTTTAGATGTATATTCAGTGTTGCTTCTTGGCCATTTACAGCAGATGCTGAGACCGTAGTCCAAGCAGAAGCCTTGGCAAGCAGAGTCATTCTCACTGCTATTGCCGAGACCCCTGTAATTGAGGTAATAACTATTTGTAAGCAGGTCTTTGTTATATGTGACATCTTAATGAAGGCTGTTTAATATTTGGGAAAAATGAGTTTGTGGATAAATATGCCACAGAGTTACTTACCACCTAAATACTGGTTCTTAATATCTTCTTAACACACATTTAAAATTATTTGTTTTACAGAAACAGATATACTTGCTAAGATGTTTATAAAACAAAGTATAACATTAAACCCTATTTTCCAACTGATTTTTATTATTTGATGGTCATTTAGGAAAATGCCATGTTCATATTCTTCCTTCTCTATACCTGAAGATTATTTGCTGGCTGAAAAAGTTTCTCTTCTACAGTTACCCATTTTCTGGAAATAAAAGAAATTAGGTCTGGCCTAGTTGGGATAATGAAGCAGTCACTGGATTATATGCCTCTTTAGGACAGTGGCTCTCAGCCTTGGCTGCACATGGGCATACAGCTGAGATTTTAAATGCACCCCAATGTCTCAGTCCCACCCAAACCAACTAAATCAGAATTGGAGTGGGGGAGGGGAGGCATGGCTAGGTATCAGTAATTTTTAAATCTCACCAGATAATTACAAATTGTAGCCTTAGTTCACAGCCACAGCTGTACAAAATGTGTCTTGATTGTGAGTAAAATCAGAACATATTGAACAAGATTAGGAATGGGAGAGGGACAGATGGGGAAGGTATAAAACAAAGGAAAAGCAGAATAGCTCTTTGTGATAATTAAAAATTAGTTGATTCCTATTATGTGATTTAACCTAACATTTGTTTACCCACACTTAACAGGTGTTACGGAGCTCTTAAAATTACTTCGTTGTTTCATTCTACAAAGCCATAACTGTGGTTCTGTTTAGAGGTGGGCTGTGGGGAATGAGGGGCAGGGTAACCTCCCAAGGAAGCTGATGAGAATCATTCAAGGTTTTCTTTTCACAGTACACTGTATTTCCTTACCTTTTTCCAGAGGAAATTCTTAGAAACTTAGTTCTGAAATTTTGTTTTCTAGGGCATGGAGGAAGAAGTAGAGTTTGTAAAAATTCTCGTATTATAAACTCTTAATGATCTTTTCCTTTTTGCATAAGTGCCATTTTATGTACTTTTTTCAACTATGTGATGCTTGCCATTCTCTAGGGCTAAGTTTTTCAACTTTGGTACTGTTGACAATTCGGGCTGGATAATTCTCTTTGAGAGGTAGGAGGCTGTCTTATGCAGGGTAGGATGTTTATAGCAGCATTTCTGGTCTCTACCCACTAGGTGTCAGTAGTACCTCCTTTCTCCCAGTTGTGACAACCAAAAATGTCTCCAGACCTTACCAAATTACCTCCACCTTAGAATCAATGTCATTAATTTTCTGCATTTTAATACATTCCACTGTACTAGGCTTCTAAACCCACCCTTAAACAGCATACACTTTTGTGGCAGACATGAAAAATCACAACTAAGCAATATTTGAAGTTGTCATATTTTAAGTGGCTCACATAAGTGATATTTAATAGTGTAAGGCAGCAGTGTAAGGTAGTTTCCCAATCTTGTCTTCTCATTGGAATTGCCTGACAACTTTCAAAAATACTGATGTCTGTGTTTACCCCCCAGAGATTGTGATTTAATTGTTTTTGAGGTGTGGTCTGGTCTTTGAGTCCAACATAACAGGCAAGTTTGAGAACCACTAGTGTAAGGGACGGTTCAGCGTTAGCCAGTCCAGTGAAAGTCTCCTTGGAGGTGTGGAACTTAGAGGAGTAATTGGGCACTGTAGGACCAGCAGGATTTGACTAGGAAACAGTAATTCCCCACGACAGATAGTGCAGAAATGTTATACAGAGACCATGTCTGTAAAACCTGCTTTTTTAACTTGATAAAGGATCTCCCAGGTACCTACAGCAAACATCATAGTTTATAATATACGTACTTTTATTTTGGCTAGATACTGCCAAATTGCTAATTTATGTTCCCAGAAGAAATATATGAGAGTTTCTATTAATGCTAACATTTGTTGTTAAATTTTAAATTGTTTGCTTCTTGGATGTGAATTGTTTAAGTTTGCATACTTTAATTACTAAAGAAGTCAAGCATCTTTTTATGTTTGTTAGCCATTCTGGTTTCCTCTTCTCTGAACTGCCTGTTCATATATCTTGCCCATTTTTCTGTTGTTTTGAATGTCTTTACCGATTTTTGTAGCTGTTTCTTATATTCTGGAGTATAAAGTTTTGCTAATAATTATTCTCTGTGATTATTTTCTCCCATTCCTTGGCTCTTCTTTTCAACTGTTTTTTGTTTGTTTGTTTTGTTGGGCTGAAATTTTAAATATAACTTAGTTAAGACTGTATTCCGGATACAAAACAAGGTTTGCTTTTCCTCCTCCAAAAAAGTATCCCTCTGAAAGGAAAGAGGAGTTGATTCACGTTAACTCCTTGAGGGTAATGTGTTAGCCTGCCATTATGTGGGTGGGTGTTAGTTTGGGATGTTCTGAAAAGTCACATAATTGTTTTAAAAATAAGGAGATTAAGAAATTTAACCAGATTCAGTGATTATTCCAGGTTGTATATAAATTATGGTGTAAATATTAAAGAATATTTAATATTCTTTAAATATTAGTTTAAGAAACAATCCAGTAAGGCGTCATGTGGGGATATGTGCAGGGCATAAATGAAAAAAACTGTCCTGTGTTTTATGAATGAGGGTTTCAGCTTGGAATAACTTTCAGTGACAACATTACATATAGATTCAAAGAGTGTTATGGTATCAGTTTGGATGTACATGAAGACTAAGGCTTTCTGAATGCATGAAGACAGCTCAGAAAGTGTCACTAGTGATGAAGTCACCAGTATTGGCGATCTTCGTCAATTTGAATATAATTGTTTTCTGACTAGAATACTCTTCTCACAGATCATCGTGGCCTTACTCTGCAACTTTCTTTAGTTATCTGCTTAGATGTGACCTGAACACTTCATAGAATGACAATCCCCACCTAACGTATCATCTCCACCCTCCCACTTCCTGTAGCCTGCTTTACTTTATTTAGTACTTTTAAGCACTTGACATAATAAATGTTTACCTGTTTATTGTTACTGTCCTCTTTCCCATACTAGCACGTAAGTCACTTCAGGAGCAGAAAGTGTGCGTCTCTTTCGTTCACTTCTATGTGCTTGGCACATAGTAGGAGCTCAATTAATGGTTGCTTAACTGCTGATTCAAATAGAAAGCAGACACAGCAGTATTTCAAAATTTAAAATTTATATTGTTTTTAAAATATTCTATCACATATATGTACCCAAAATGATGAATATAGTCAAGTATTTCATCCACATTGCTAAAGATTTATATATTCAAGTTGGCCAAAAAGTCTTTTTAGAACTTCTTTTTGGGAAATTGAATTGTTATGTATTTTAAATACAGTGATAGTTTCCAAATGTGTTGGGAGTGTTTTAGCTGCTCCTCCCACATCTCCCCAACAGATTTGGGTTGGGGGAATTTTGTAGTGTGTGTTCAGGTGTTGCTAATGTTTCTTGTGTGCTTAAAAAGAACGACTCTTTCTCTCAGGTACAGAGTTCTTTTACATGCCCTTTAGCTCTCATTTGTTACTTCTGTAGCTCCAATCTTCTGTATTAATACTAATATTTCTGTTTGCTTATTAGTCATTTGACCTCTGAGGAGGTGATTGTGGATTTTTCAGTTTCTTATAATTCTGTTGATTTTTGTCTTGGATATTCTGCAGCCCTATTGTTACATGTCTTTATGCTCAGGATCATTTTATCTTATAATTAAATGAAATGGTTCCTTTTTAAGTGACGGTTCTCTATTTCTATTGTCACAAAGTCTATTTTGACCAGTGTTAATATTGCATGTCATCTTTTCTTTCATTTAATAATTTCCTAGTATATCTATTTTCATCTTTTTATTTTTCAGTCTTTGACCTCTATTTGTTATAATGTCTCAAAATTTTATGGATTTTTTCCAACCTTTCCTGACTCTCACTGAATGGATTAAAATGTTTTTTCATCCTTCTTTCCTTCTATATTATCTTTGACAAAATATTTTAGTTACAAATGGTTTTAAAACCTCATCATTAATTTTTTTTCAACAGCTCAAGCTATTTATACTTTTTTGCTCACCAGTGCTTCTTGAGTCTTAAATTTACCCTTTCTTAATGGACCCTATTCTCTTATATGTATTTAAAATGTACTTATTTTATCATTTCAGATTATTTTCTAGTTCTTTGGGTCCTAATTCTTCTACTAGTTAGTTTTTCTGAGTTTCCCTAATTTTTTCTAATTTTTAAAAATTTTTTAAAATTTATTTAAATTAGTTTCAAGTATACAGTACAATGGTTAGACATCTATATAGTTCTAAAATCTAATTTTTTAATAATTAAAAAATTTTTTTATGTCAGCTCACATTAATTGAACCTGCTTTTTGCTATAGAAATCCTGTGTGTCCTGGTTTTTCAAAATGTCCCTGGAGAGCACTTTGCATTAATGCTAGGGGCACTAAAGGTTTCAGTGATTTTTTTTTTTTTTTTCCCCCAGCTTAGAGCTTTCATACCTGGTGTGGCATAGGCTTAGGGTTTTACTTTCTTGCAAATAATCTTTCAGTGCCCACCCATCCCTGGACAACTTCCCTGTAGTCTCCTGGGACATATAAACAGCATTTCCAGTTTTCATAAAGAGGGCACTTGTTTGAATTTCTACACCTTTAGGTAGTTAAATTCCACTCCACCTTTGCCCTGCCCACAAGCTCAGGATCCTATCTTTCCTTCTCAGGAGGGTATGGAAGCTCAGCTACCTTGGGGGTAAGTCATCCTTAAACCTTCTGGAGCCACTGTAGGAAGTTAGCTCCAGATAACCAGTCTGCTTTTCATTACCCTTTAATTTGGTTTGGCTAGACCCAAAAAATTTATGTGTGTGTTAAACATTGTCCAACATTTCTATATGTGTGGGTGTGAGGGCACTGTTTGGTTTCCGTTGTTTAAAGAAGTCAGTCTGTTGCAATGATAGGCACTCATTTTAAACTTTTGATGTCTATTTTGATATAATTTTAAGCATTTTCAGTATTGTCAGAAGTTTGGACTACATCTGAAAAAGCTATTGAGAAATTGAGAAATCAATATTGTAATAATAGAACTCATTGAAGGGAGGCTTATGTATTTTATAAAATTGTCGGTTTGTCTTAAGATCCAGTAGTTTTTCAGAGTAACAGCAACTAAGATGTTGCTTTATTCTGCAGCATATTTGAATACATAGACTACCTCAAAAAAAAGAATTTAACTTTTTTTTAGAAATAACAGTTGTAGCCTGGAGAAACTTAGGTAAGTTTACCTTTAATGCTGACTGTTTGTGGCTGAAAGGGCAGAGATGTGAACATAAGCTGTGATATTTATTAATATATTGCTTTTTATAAATCAGTCTTTTTTTCCATAATTAGGTAGAAACAGAAAAGGAAGATGTTCTTGATTTTGGTGACTTGACTTACGGAGGCTGGAAAGCTCTTCCTTTAAAATTGATAAACAAGACACATGCCACCGTGCCAATCAGACTTATTATTAATGCTGTAAGTACTAATGCACAGTAAAAAACCATTTACAGAGGACACTGTTTTTTGAGTTCTAGACACCATTAATATCATTCTCAGTTAATTTTTCTGATGAAAGTAAATTTTTTATTAAGGATTCTGTCACTATTGGCTTTACTGAAACTGATTTTTCTGTTTCTGAACAGAATGCCATAGCCTGGCGCTGCTTCACTTTTTCCAAGGAACCAGTCCACGCTTCTATGACAGCTGCTCCTTATGCTGATGTGATTGCTCAGCTGGCAGCTCCTTCTGTGATCAATCACATGATGCCTGCCAGTTACCCTGGTCAGGTAAGCTGGATGGATTGAAAAACTGAATTAGAATTAAAAAGGAAGTTAAGTTTCCAAACTATTTTTCTTTCATTAAGATTTTAATTTTAGTACCAGTGTACATTTAATTTTATTTTTTACAGGATCCAGAATTTCTGATAATTTGGGTTCTTTTCCATAGTCCAAAGAAACGGATCACTTCTTCAGGTATATGGTTACATTTTCTGAGAATTGCTTTACTCTGTACCTGAATAAATTACAAAGTTAGGGTGTGTTTCCTTTCAGTAAATATGAATGCTTTGAGTAATTTGTTAAATATTTTATGTTATTTTAAAAATGGGGCCGAGAGCATGCTATTTTGGGTCAAATCCATGTAATTGTAAGTAACTCAAGCAAGTACCACTGAAAACCTTTTGGGATTTTTTTTTTTCTGTTAATTGATTGTATTATTTCTACCAATGGGATTTTTTTTTTTTCCTTTTCCTCTCTTTCTTCCACTTCTATTCCTCTTTGTTCTTTAGAAAATTATCTTGCTTAAGATTTCGTGGACTCCTGAGGGCGGTGTTTGACCACTCATGGAGTTTAGAATTAAATCACTCTGGTATCTAAACTAACAGAATGAACTTTTATAGAGATTCTAGACTCAGCAGAAGAATTCTTGGCAAGAGTTGATATAGAAGTCGATAGCCCAAACCCTACATCAGTCATTAAAAGTATTAGTCTTCGAGCAAGAACAGGAATAGCTAGGATACATGCTCCAAAAGATTTACAGGTACTCTAAACTTTTCTCTTTGCCATTATTTCGCCATTATTTGATTTCATTCTAATTGTGACAATTTTTATAAATGTCTATTTTACTCTGTCTTTAGACTATGCATTTGTTTGCCAGTGTGGCTTCCTTAACAAAGCAGCAATTACCTTTGAAAAATGCTGGGAATATTGACGTTTACTTAGATATCAAGGTAAGAATTTGTGTCGGTGCTATAACAGTATTTCATACTGTGAAGCTATGAATATCTCTTGTCAGAGTGCCATGGGGATCAGTTAGAAGAATCTGTGCAAGTGCTTTAAGAGCTGAATGTTACGCTAGTATAAAATAGATAATAAAGAATTTTAATATCTAATGTTTCATATGTAAGAACAAAGTTCTCCATTAGTTCCTGAAAAATTAATTTGTTCTCCTATGGCTAGGTATAATTAGAGGAGAGTGATTCACATAATAGACATTATTTCTGAGACATGTGGGTAAGAGTGTATGGTTGGTGTTAGTGACCAGGAATTAAGGATTGAGTGGAAGGTAAAGTTTGTTATGGAAGAGGAAGGGGAGGGTGATAGATGAGGAGAAAAGGAAAAATAACCTGTCATAGCAATTGAGATTTCTTAAGTCAGCATTTAATATAATTATATAAATATTTAGATCCCCAATCAAGGAAGTCACTTTTCAGTGGATCCAGAGACTCTGTTCCTTAAACCTGGAGAAGAACATGAAGTTATCATTTCATTTACTCCAAAAGATCTCAAAGCCTATGAGGAAAGGTAATGTAAAATTTTTTATAATGACAAGTTTTTACTCCTCAAAACAGTCACTTATTAAGATGTACTTCAGTGCACAGCCTGAATGATAAGAGTGCATGTTTTACCTTACCTAACAGATGATACAGCTGTATTTAACCTCTTTCATTTAGCCTCAGATTTCCTTCTTTTGTTTGTTAAAATCTTCTTTTAAACCAGCTGATTAAAAATTAAGAAATCACTATTTTCAAGTATATTCTGACAAAAGTAAATAATACAATGTCAGTCGTGATGTTTCCAATTAACTTCTCTTTCTCCAAAGAAGCCAGCTGTTGGTTATTAATTCAAGATACTTTTTCCCCACCCTTTCTCTGATCTTGCGACTTTTTTACACCCAAGTGATAAATGGATGAATATCACCATAGTATGGTCAAAACACCATCGTCATTAGTATTTGATCTTGTTTGATAAATCTAGCATGGAAGCACTCTGTCCTGAGACACACATGGCCTATCTACTGCCTGGGTTACAGAACACGTTAGAGTGCTCAGTCTTCTACTGTGACCTTACCAGAAAGCTGGCCTGCACAAATATGAGTACTTCTGCCTGGAGTACTTGCCTGGAGTACTTGCCCTCAACTTCACTAGGTTAACTCCTTCATCTGGGAAGCTTTCCTCAACTTCTCCCAAATTTCTCATAAATAGTATTCAGTAGTGTTCTTGTAGCCGCATGAACTTCTCTCCCACTGTGTAGATGGTATTATGACAGTCCTTTTCCTTGTCTGTAGTCTCTGGAATTTAAGCTCTAAGGATGAGAATATCATTGTATCCTCAGCACCCAGCACGGTCTCTTGGACAAAAGAAGAATATAGCAAATAGTTTCCAAAAGAGTTGAATTCTGAATGTCCAACTTAGATGGTTTTCTTTGTTAGGATCTTGAAAATATTTGTGCAGCCATTTGGACCTCAATATGAAGTGATGTTGAAAGGTGAAGTAGTTTCTTCAGCAAATAAACCTCCACCATCTGGATCTTGTTGCTCATATATTCCATCAATTTTATCAAATAAGCAGTTTCTGGCTTGGGGAGGTGTCCCTCTTGGTAGAACACAGTAAGTATGCACATAGCAGCAGCCTCTGAATGCTAAGATTTTGCTGTTATCACCTGATGTTATTTTCTGCTGTGTTAGTTATGACCATGTTAATGTTTTTAGAATTAAGTAAAACGGTCTTATATTCCTTATTCTTCCTATCATGAATTCAAAAATTTTAATTAACATTTTTACCTATCTTTAAATGCAATCCAAAAAATATAGTTTTCAGTTTTCTTAAGCTTTTAGTGAATTCTCTGCTGATTTCCAAATCTAGGCAGAGTATCTTTGTTCCTTCTCTGGAAAAGACAATGAAAAGGTAGGAAGAAAAAAATAATCAGAGACATGGCATTCTGTTGAAGGAGTTTACAAACTAGTTGGTGAATACTTTGTACCATAAAGTAAGGAGTATAAGGGATCTCTAATAGAGCAGGTATGTTTTCTCACAGGTTAATTTGAATTATATATCTAATTTTTATATTTATTTTGATTATACATTATGGGTAACTGAGTTAATAAAATTAATTGGCATATAATATGTAGTACCTATAGTAATATTTTTCCCCTTCGTAAGCTTAGCAACATAGCTGAATTTTTTTTTACCAACCTCAAATCGGTAAAAACTTATAATTAACAACTTAAGTAATTTTTAAACCTAAATGTTTATTTAATCTTTCATATTTTGCACTTTTGTGTTTGTCCTAAATATTTTATGTATACATTTCTATGGTATCTGAGAGATAAAGATAAGAAAATTCTGGCTGAATCTCTACTACAGGTGTGAAGAAATTCTTTAGAATTACAGTTTTTGTCAGTGCAAAAAAGATCTAATTGATGCTCCTTACTTTACATAGAGTTCATGCACCTGCATAACTACTCATGTAGTCATCTGTACCTTGTCTTGTTCCAAAAGCAGCTTTCAAAAAGACACAGAAAGATAAAAACAAGTGAGAAATGACTTGTATGGAAAATGAGACATAGTTATCATAAAGGTGGCACTAGAAGCCTTGCTGGGAGACCTTGTGTACTTGCCTTGACATGGGTCTTAGGCTTGGTTCTGACACTTCTCTCATCATCATTAAATGAGTCACAGCATTCAGAGGTTAAGCACAAACCAGTAACTGTGTGAGAGTATAGCCATTCC